TTTTGTCATTGCTATGTTTTGATTTTAAAAATGATTGTGATGATTACTTTCAGAAGCTTTAGGTTATTATTTTTATTGAAATATTTATTTTGGCCAGGTGTGGTGGTGCCTGCTTGTAATCCCAGCAACTTGGGGGGTTGAACCAAGAGGATCCTAAATTCAAGGCCAGCCYTGGCACTCTAATGAGATCCTGTCTCAAAATAAAATAAAAAGGGCTGGGATGTAGCTTGGTAGTAGACAATCCCTGGGTTAATCTCCAGTACTACACACACACTTGTTTTAATCAACTATTTTGGGCTTGTATAAAGAAAATCATTTTCCCAACTCTGAAAGAATCCTCTATGGCTTACATGTGAGCCAGTTACTATTTTAGTTTTGTATATGGATCTTGAATGATTAAAATCATGTGATCTTTTGATTGTGGCTACTCTCTAAACCTCATGCAGTTTTCCATATTTCTGTCATGGTAAGAACTTATATTAAATTAGCTTACTGTTCACATTTATTGGGCCTCTTTAATGTTTTATTTACCACAACCTTGGAGATGCAAAGTGACATGGACTCTATGCCAGAGTGTTTCTTCCAGGTGTACATTAATGGRATAATGCAGATAATACTGGCCAGACACATAGTAGGTTCTCAATGAGCTCAATAAGTACCTATTTATTATTAACTTTATTCTTCACATGGTATCATTTCATTTCCTTTTCCTTTTTCCAGTTTTCTATTCCCAGTTATTCCTATCAAATTTTTTATCTGAATTTCAGGTAAAAGTTATTTCCTCCCCCATTTGCCATTGTCAGTTTCTCATTGTTGCCATGGAACTCTAAAACCTGCTATCTTTAGTCCTAACAAAAACAGCATATGGTTTAACAAATCCTGTGTTTATTTTCCCTGAAGTATTTGCTTACTAGATACATATATAACAGGGTTGAGGGGAGACTGAAGGAGGGTGATCAATGTGGTATTGTTCCAGAACTCCTAATGTTACACATTGTAATTAGAGGCTTTATTTGCTGGGAAAAACAAGTTAGTAAATTTATCTTATGATTCATTTGATGGCTACATGTTTTGTCTTTGGCAGACATGCAAGGTTATATTAGTTCTACAATTTCAAAAATAAATTACTTAYGTTTGATTTCATAGTTGATACTTTAATGCTGTTAGAAACACCAAATGTTAAAAAATAGAAATATTACATATTGATATTCTAGGTTAAGCCTAGAGGTAAATCGAAGACCTAGTTCCCCTTCCCCTTCCCATTCTACTTCCCCTTCCCCTTCCCCTTCCCCCTTCCCCTTCCACTTCTCCTTTTTTTTTTTTTTTGGCAATGCTGAGGATCACACCCAGGGCCTTGTACATTCCAGGCAGGTGTTCTGACACTGTGCTGTATACCACCAACCCAATAATGTTGATTAATTATATTTAATTTACTTACTTTAGGTAGTAACAAAGGTCAGTCCATTTTATTCAATCATATGTACTGATATCTATTACATATATAGATATGTAATAGGAACGTCTTTTGCCTGCAGTTATGGATAACATACTGGATCAAGCTATTTTTTTCCTCAGGTTCTTTCCTTGGAGATGGAGATCATTTCTGGATGGATGTTTCCTTCAAGCAAATGTCACTTTACTTCTTAAGGTAATTATCTTTACAGAACTTTCTAATCCCTTATATCCTTGAACTTTGGGATAGAAATAGCCCTGGGGTATTATACTGTATGTTCTGGTTATATCCTGACCACCACCTGCCTATTCTCTTTATTAAATCATCACAAAATACCTTACCATCTGTTTCCTGCTGTGATCATACTCAATACAGTTGGTTCCTTAAGTGAGAAAATACAGCAAAAGTGGACTTGATATAGGCCTTGATGAACACTTTCACTTTCTAGGCAAGGGAAAACAGCATTTAGAAATTAAAGGGATTTGAAAAAGAGTATAGAAACTGACCTTTCTACCCTATATCAATACTGTTGTTCTTTTAATATTTTTTGACATAGCTCAAAAGCATTCTTCTCTTTGAAGTTTTTCTTAATTTAATACCTCCTGTGTTCCCTCATGTTCCCAGATGTTGATAATGTACTCTATGATGACTCACTTCTACTTTTCTTTAATCAAACTTAGCTTTTAACCCATACAATACATTGTGAAGTTGTTTGGCTTTGATGGGAATGCATCATTTACTTTTTTTTCTTTACTCTTTTCTCATTAGTACAGGACTAAGCAATTCTATTTAGTGCTATGGCAATCATGGCTTGAAAGGCAAATTCAAGACTTGAGATCCTATGAGTTATGATTCAAAATCATTTGGATGAACCAGAATATGTTTACATTGCTTTTTTTTTTTTTTTGTGGGGAAGGGGGACACTGGTTACTTTACCAAAGAGCTATACCCTCAGTCCTTTTTAATTTTTTTATTTTGAGACAGTGTCTTACTAAGTTTCTTAGGGCCTTGCTAAATTGCTGAAGGCTGAACTCAAACATACAATCCTCCTGCCTCAGCCCCTGAGCCACTGGGATTATAGGCAAGTACCACCACACCTGACTATTTACATTACTATTTTAAGACACAAAAACATAAAACAAAAAATTATCCTAAAGAATTTATAGACTCCTCTCTCTTCCCCAAGTATATTTGTTAATTCTAATTTGAGACACATGCATTTTCAGGGCTGAGTTGATGTGAGACATTAGAGAAAAGGACAAAGTGTGGCATGAGGACTCGGGATGTCTGACTTGGGTCACCGAGTGCATGGAAGTTCTGTTTACTTCAGCCAGGAGAGGAAAAAAGACTATATGTTCTGGAAAAAGGATGAGGTCAGTTTTGTACAATCTCAATTTGAGTTTCCTGTAGAACATTCCCTTCCTTTTGGAGTGAGCTGGAAGTATCAGTTTGGAAATCTACACTATGAAACCAAAATGAGTAGAAACAGTCATTCAGAGAGAACACATGGAGTAAAAGGGGAAGATGGCCAAGGAAAAATAGTCTTGTGAACACACTCCCTGGAGAGCAGAAGTTAGCAAAGTTGTGGATAGGGAGCATAAAGGAAGGGAAGCATAAATTTCAAGAGGTAAAATTCAAGAATTACACTCCAGTTAGGGTGGCAACCAGCAAGAATACAAARAGGAATAAATGTCGAAGAGAATGTAGAGAAAAAGGAAAACTGTTGGTGGAACTGTAAATTAGTACAACCCCTATGGAAATCAGTATGGAAGTTCCTCAAAAGACTAGGACTAGGTTGGGCGCGGTGGCATACACCTGTAATCCCACATCCCAGGGGCTTCAGAGACTGAGACAGGAGAATAGTGAGTTCAAAGCCAGACTCAGCAACTTCGAGGCACTAAGCAACTCAGTGACACCCTGTCTCTAATAAAATACAAAATTGGGCTGGGSATGTGGTTCAGTGGTTGAGTATCCCTGAGTTCAGTCCCGATACCAAACAAACAAACAAATAAAAAAAAATAGACTAGGACTAGAACCACCATATGACCCCGTTATATTACTCCTTTATATTTATCCTCAATAATTAAAATCAGTATATTATAATGATACATGCATACCCGTGTTTATAGAAGCACAATTCACAATAGCCAGACTATGGAACCAGACTAGGAGTCTATGAATGAATTGATAAAGAAAATGTGATATATATATATACACAATGGAGTTTCAGCCATAAAGAAGAATGAAATTATGCTATTTGAAGGAAAATGGATGGAAGTGGAAACTGTTATGTCAAGTGAAATAAACCAAACTGATAAACTCAAGGGTTGTATATTTTCTTTCATATATAGAAGCTAGAGAAGAAAAATAAAAATAAAGGTGTGTGTGTGTGTGTGTGTGTGTGCGCGTGCGTGGTGGGGGAGATCTTATGAAAAAGGGTAGGGAACCAAGGAATGATATTGGTCAAATTCTATTGCTATATTGTGTGTGTGTTCAAATATATAACGAGGAATCTCAACACTATGTACAACTATAATGCACCAATAAAAAATTTTAAAAAACAGGTTTTCAAATATATATAGTAAAAAAAGATTGAAGAAGAATGAAAATGTCAAGATGCATTTAGAGGTCAAGACTGAAATCAGTTCATTGTATTTGGTGATTAAGAGGTACTGACCATAGTAAGCACAATTTCAGTGGAGCCAAGGGGCAAAGTCTGATCACAGTGAGTCTAAAAGCAAAGAAATGAGGAAATGCAGCTAATAATTCAAGACTCTTTGGCCTTGCTGTGAAAAACTCAGCCAGAGGGAACCCCAAGGATGGACGACTTGAAAATAACATAATAATGATGACCATCTGTGGCACCAACTGGTGAGAAGCAGCACCATAGGTAGATTAAAAATAGAGCTCCTTGAGGAGGGGAGAGATCACATCAAGGGTCAAATGAAAAGATTTCTTCCTAGCTTGGAGGAGTTACAGACAAGGGATGGGAAATTGAGGTCCCTCATGCCTCACAAGGAATGGCCCCAATTCTCTCTGTGGAATAATAAGGAAGATCCTCTGTAGAGAGAAGGGCAGAGTTGGGGCAAATGATTTGAGAGAGAAACCAGCCCAGGGAAAAGTACAAAGCACTACTGAGAGGTGCCAMGGCCTGCCTGCAGTTGTGTGATTATGAACCGAATGTGTCACCAATTTCGAGGTTATATGACTTCTCCCTTCTAACTGTACTCTATAAAGCGCTGAGAAAGCAGATGAAGGTTGAGTTCCACCTAAATCCCTATCCCCAAAGGCCCAGGCCAAAGGAGAGCGGCCAAATCATCTAGCATACACTAGAAATTCTGAAAAGCACAGAAATGCCASCATGTTTATATTCTAAGTCTTAGAATATTGTTCTTCCCAACAATATTGTTGGGAAGCGTCAGCATCCGAGGCCTTCACGGAAATCGAGTTTTTTTCCGGAGGAAGCATAAACCGGGAGAGAGGCTGAGGGACTGCGCACAACTTTCCTTCTCTCCAGATTCACACCGAGGGAAGGAAGGAGGGCGGTTGGTCCGGTCCAGGTGCCTGCTGCTCCACAGGGAGGAGGGGGCCCTAACCGGGCACTGCCAGGCGGAAGCGCCGTTGCCATTGGTCCAGTGGCGGCTTTTACCTGCCTGGAGCCCAGGGGGGCCCCAAGCGCAAAGTCCGCGGCGCTGGGCCAAGGAGCCGGCGACTGGCAGCGCAGGTGCGCCCACGCCCTCGGCCAGGCAAGATGCCGCTGGGGCTGCGGGGAAAGAAGAAGGCTAAGTCCAAGGAGACCGCTCGGCTGGTGGAGGGCGAGCAGGCGGGCGCGGGCGTCGGGAGCCTCCCAGATCCCCCGGTTCCCGCACGCAGGCTGGTCTTCCACACGCAGCTGGCGCACGGCAGCGCCACGGGCCGGGTGGAGGATTTCTCCAGCATCCGTGAGCTCTACGAGAAGATCGCCGGCGTGTTCGAGATCTCGCCGTCGGAGGTAAGGGCCAGATGCTCAGCCTCTCCTCCCTGCGGTGGGCCGTGCCCGGTCGGCTTAAATTGGCTCAGACTGGTTGAGCAGCTTTCCCTAAACCCTCGGTCGCACGCACGCAGGGTGGAGCCCTCCGGGAGCGCCTCAGGGACCGAGAGAGAGGGAAGGGGAAAGGCACGTCCCAGGACCGGAGAAAGTCACTTTCCCCACGCTCCGAGATCTAGCCAGTGGGAAACTGGGGCGAGGCGACTTTTCTTCTTCTTCATGTAAATGAGTTGGCTTTAGATGTCCCAGATTCAGCCGCTCAGGATTCCCAGAGTCAAAGATCTGGCTGGGCAAATTAATACCCTTCATCTCAATTGGACTTTACCCTCCAGATTCCTCTGTAGGCGTGTGAGAGTGGAGCTGGGCCTCTGGCCAAAGTAAGGGATAGGGGCGCCAGGGTGGGGGGAGATTGGAGTGTCTTCCAAGCGATCACCAACCAAGGCCCGTGTTACCTCTCATTTGTCACTTCCAACATCAACTCCAGAAACGGTGGTATATTTCTCAGAAGTTTTTAAAAGCTGGGCTGTTATTTCAAGGGGGGACATGTTTTTTTTTTTTTTTTTTTTTAATCATACTTAACTATGTGTGACTAGATTACGCAGTTTACATGGGGGAGATGAGCTTTAACTTTTACATGCTAAACTTGAAAAGGACCTGAGAAATCTAATTCCAATGTGTGCTTGCCGGGAACTGGAGTTTGACGTAGGAGTGCTCGCAAAAGCACTAGTTTATGAGGGCTTTTTTATGTGACCACGTTGTGCTTATCCAAGAGATCAAACTGTAAAATGTACTTGTGAGAACTTAGCTCAAGAAAATGTTTTGTGTATATTTCTAGGAAAAAGCACAGGATTTTGTTGCCTTGGACTTCTGTGTGTAAAGAGCTGCCATTGAGTGGCGTAGGGTAACATCTAGATATCCTTTCTTTAATTTGTTGTTTGATTTTTTTTTTTAAATTAGTTGTTTGTCAAGTCTATTTAAGCGAAATTGAGGTCAAGGCAAAATTCCAAAAAGATGTGAAAGAGAACATAAAGCGTAACTCTTTGTTCTTTYGGTTTCCAAGTACTAAGGGCTAAATCACAAACCCATTTTGTAAACTATTTATATATACACGAGACATTAATAAAACTACTTTTACAAGGGACTTTTCAACTAAAAAAAAAACACTTTTTAAATTTTTATTTTAGTGGTACTGACAATTGGACCTAGATCCTTGCTCTTACTGGGCAAGCACTCTGACACTGAACTATCCCCCCACTCCATCCTTTTTATTTCAATTTTTTGGTACCAGATATTGAACCCAGGGGAACTTAACAACTGAGCCACGTTCACAGCCCTTTTTAAAATTTTTTAAATTTTGAGACAGGGTCTTGCTAAGTTGCTTAGGGCCTTGCTAAGTTTAGGCTGATTTTGAACTTTATTTTCTTGCCTCAAGCCTCCTGAGTTATTGGGATCACAGGTATGAGCAACCACACTGGCTGTCTTTCCCTATTTTGAAATTTTGAGACAATGTCTCCCTAAGTTGCAAGAAGCTGGCCTCCAACTTGCCATCTTCCTGACTCATCCTCCCAAGTAGCTGGGATTAGAAGCAAGTACCCCTATGCCCAATGTTAAAAAGCACTTTTGAAAAGGGATCTCATGAAAATAGAAGGGAGACCAGAAAGTTAGAGGAAGGGGACTGGGAAGAGAGGGGAGTGGAGGGGAAGGGAAGGTACTGGGGTCTGAAATTGATAAATTATGCATGTGCTTGTACCAATTTGTCACAGTGAATTCTACTATGATGTATAATTATCATGCACCAATAAAATTTTAAAATTTGAATTATAGATAAACCAATAATTATTTTTTAATGTAAATATGTCCTATGCAATGTTAGAAATACTGATATATAATAAACAAGAGTATTCATTTATTTGGGAAAACAAAAGTGCATTTGAAGGAACAATTCCCTTTGATCTTCTGAAGGTGAGGTAAGTAGCAGGTTAATGAGATAAACTTGGCTCTACCATATGCTAGTGTGTGGCCTTGAACAAGTTTAACTTCTCATTTTTAGTTAACTATAAAGTACAGATAAGGTTATCTACCTTGAAGGATATTGTGAAGACTGGACTTTGTATATAAACCTATCAGATGGCATGGCATATGATCAGTGCTCAATGAATTGTAATTAATATTATTAATGCTTAACAGTTAAATGATAAACTGAGGTATAAAGAGATTGGGCCTTGGGTTAGGTCATGTAGCTTACCAAAAAACAACAACAACAAAACAAAACAAAACAAAACAAAAAAGAAAACAAAAAACAGCTGTTATTTATTCTTGGATTTTATTTCTATAGTGGTAAGATTGTTAATATACTTAACTGACAGCTTTAAATGTCTCTCCTGTAATCAAGGACACCATTCTGATTTCTTTACATTAACAGTTTTCTTCGTCACTATATATGACATTATTCTGAGCTCAAGCTGCATGATTTTTTTTTCAATCCACTTAATCCCTAAGGTGGAAGTATTATTGTTAATATCTGCTTCATAGAGAGAAAATGAAAGCTTTCGAATTCAGAACTTTTTTAGAATTGCACATAGTAAATGGTAAAGCCTGGTAGTCCAATTTTTTTCTTCTGACTCCAAATTCCATGAAGTTTTATTGTTTCCCAATTTTTCCAGTGTCTCCTATTTTAGCAGCCATGTTCAATATTTTCAGTTTCCAGTGCACTGATTAGCAAGATAAAATTCCAAACTAATGAACATAAGGTGTTTTGATGTGCTGTATCAAAGTTCATAAACGTGTGTGTGTATGTTTGTATATGTTTATTTTTTTTTTAGTTGTAAATGGATACATATCTTTATTTATTTATTTTTATGTGGTGCTGAGGATTGAACTGAGTATTTCACATGTGCAAGGCAAGTGCTSTACCACTGAGTCACAACCCCAGCCCCATAAGTATATTTTATTGCCCTAATATATGTATATTAGCATGATTATGTGCATAACCAACATTAATGGATTAAAAATAGTTATGGCTGGGGTATGTGACTCAGTAAAGTACTTGACTAGCATATGTGAGGCCCTGGGTTCAATTCTCAACACCACATATAAATAAAAGTTCTGTTGGCAACTAAAAAAATATTTTAAAAAATAGTTAATAAATATGTGCAGGATACTTGCCCAGCGTGCTTGAGGCCCTGGGTTCAATCTGAAATGAGGCAAGCAAAGAATTACAAGTCATAGATACTGAAAATTGTCCCATTCACAGATGCCGTAGTTCTAGAAAACATTGCAGTGAATTTTCACAAATTCCAGAAAATAAGTAAAGCTAGCAAGTTATAGCATATGACCTCAAAGTAAAAAAATAATTTTTTTTATATACTAGCAGTGAATAACTAGAAAATGAAAATTGAAAACGAATATCATTTACAAGAGCCCAAAAAACAAATGTGGGCTGTAACTTGGTGGTATAGCTATTGTCTAGCATGCCCAAGGCCTTGGGTTTTATTCCCAGCATAGAAAAAAAAATCTAGGTTTAATCTAACAAAATATATACATGATCTGTAAGAGAATTCCAGCTCCAGCATGTTAGACTCATTGGAGCACTATTTTGTGGGACAAAGTGTTGCCTGGCTCTTCAATTAAAAAAATAAATAAACCAATTAAGACCTTTAAAAAATATGTGCAGGATAAACCTTTGGCCATCATTGTATAGTATGCCTTAAGTATCTCAGTAGTTAACTTTGAAACAAAAGTTAATTATTAAAATCAAATTCACACCAGAGAGATTCCATTCATTTTCCCATTCTCCTAGCAAGAGGAATAGTGATGTGAATAGTTTTTGAGGTATCAGTGCATATGAAACAGAATATTTCCCTCTTAAAAGGATTGAATAGATAGTTAACTTGGAAGGCCTGTCTTTTCTCAAGGGACGTGGCTGTAAGGATATAAATGGAACTTTATAGAGAGAAATATACTTTTATTTTTTTGGGGGGATGGAGTACCAGGGATTGAATACAGGGGTGCTTAACTACTGAGCTACATCCCCAGCCCTTATTATTTTTTATTTCGAGACAGGGTTTTGCTAAGTTGCTTAAGGCTTTGTGAAGTTGCTGAGGCTGGCTTTGAATTTGTGATCCTCTTGTCTCAGCCTCCCAATCCTCTGGGGTTACAGGTGTGGGCCAACTCACCCAGATAGGAGCTGTATACTCTTTACTGAGGGAAAAGAACAGGATTAGATGTCAGATGGGCACATTCAGATAAATTTCTGGGGCCCATAATATGCCCATACCTGTTATAGGTTTGTAGTCAGCAGTTTGGTCACTTATTAYCCTTATGAGAATTCTCATTTTATAGTTGTGCCAAATGAGGTGGTGAGCTAGCCCAGAATCACTCAGATCATGGTAGAGCTGGAATTTGAATTTGGGTTTCCTGGTTTCAAGGAACCAGCTGGAAAATTCTTAGTAACTGCTTTCAAAGTCCAAGTACAAACCTGGGAAAACTTCTTTTTAGACAAATAGTTTTTCAACTCAAAATGATGCTTCTGTGAAATTGACAGTTGTGAATTTCGACTGTTTCATGATCCCTGAAGGGAGAAGCTAATGAAGCCTGTGAATCTCTTAAGATTTGTTACCAATGCTGGCAGGTTGCAGTCTATTGTGATCATTACATCGAAACAGATGGTCAATTATGCAGAAATCCCATATATCTGATGTCTTTTTTTCTAAAACAACTAAATGAGCAATTCAGTAAAAAGAGAAAAAAGAAAAAGTAAATTAATCTCATCTAAAAAATAGTTATAACATAAATGCAGGAGCAATTTTTCAGAAAGTTTAATGCCATCTTTTAAAATATTCAGGTTACATAAAAGAGTTGAGTCATTATTTATGACTATAGCTCTTAAGCATAGTCATAAATTTGGTTGAAGAGGCGTTTTGAATATTTGACTACTGTAATTATTTGGCAAGTAGTTTGTGCCA